AGTCTTGTCGTACAGACCTTATTTATGGTTCCGACTCGTAGGTGACTAACAATTTATCGTCCGACTATTATGAGAGAATAGAATTGAGCATAATTATATTTCACCCAATCTTGTCGTACAGACCATTTTTAGGGGTTCCGACTTATGTGCAGTATATTGCCGTGTAGGTCATTGTAGTGACTCCAGCTAGATTGACTTTTGAACTATGAATTCAGCCGTAAAGACTACCATGGGGGTTCCGGCTAACATCTCATATATCTATGAAATCATTCTTACCTGGATTGTTTACTTTGTTATATTTTGGCATGGCATACATTTGAATATGATTATGTGAGGCATGAATTGAATTGATATGATTGCATGTATATATAAATTATGTATATACTTACATCTTGATTCTGGGAAGATTTTACATGTTTTACAGCGAGGGGTTAATATGTTGATAAAAGAAAATGATTTTGTAAAACATTTGTTTTTGCTCACTCACGTTTTCTGTTTTGTGCCATTCTAGGTTTTAAGTAAGCTTGTTGTTGGTGGCTCGAGGACGTCGGCTGTTCTCACTTATCTAAATAATAGTAGGACATTCCTGGTACTGTATAACTAGTACTTGTCCTACTAGATTACACCTAGACTTATTATGCTCTGATTATGAGTGTTTACTATTGTAACTAACTCCTATCACTTTCTGTTTAGTAGTGCACTCTAGTAATTTGGTTTTTAATTATTCGTATATTCTTATCTTTATTGCTTTCACACTGTGCACATGGTTACGTCACTCTCACGTGATGGCCAGCATGCCTTGATCTCAGTCGGGGTGTGTCATTTATGTTATGTAATTTTCCTCAACTCATTTGTTACAACGGCCGAAAATTAAAAAATGTGTTAAAAAAAGAGGATAAATTGTGGTTTAAGGGCAAATTAGCCCCTGAACTATTTAAAATCAGTCAATTAAACGGCAAGTCAATTCCTTCAAATTCAATGGAAAATTAGTCATTTTATCATCAATTGTTACTTGTCAGCTATAACCACCAATAAAATTTTGACACATGGACACAGTAAAAAAACATATAGCATAATGAGAAAACATAAAAGAAACCAAACGTTTACATAACATACCATCTCACATTGTCATTACACATTATTTTGCTTTCAAATGTATAAGTTCATTGATAGTTATTGTTGACAAGTAAGAATTGATGAAGGAAAGACTAATTTTCCTTTGAATTTGACGAAATAGTGGATGAAATCTACCAACAAAGGGTCAACTGGCTGATTTCAAATAGTTCATGGGGTTAATTTACCAAAAAAATAGTTCATGTGGTCAATTTCAACTAGAGTAATAGTTCAAGGGGTTAAATGGCAATTTATCCACAAAAAAAAAATGAGTGTGTGGATAACACCATCACAGCCTTTCTCGAACATTTTTGCTTTGAATTTTCTATTTTTTTAGCTGGTTTGCTAGTCAAATCACTCATTTAAAGGTAGGTCTCGGAAATCTAATGGTCCTTCAGATTTAGGATTTTTGTCGTTATGGACTAGCTCTTTTTAGGCGTCTATGTTGTATTTTCTTTTTTACTTTACTTATATTGGGATTGTCTTTGAACTTTCTATTTCATGTAATAGTTTTTTAATTAATGAAAGTTTTTAGTTTGACAAAAATAAAAATAAATATAAAAAAAAAATTAAAAAAAAAAAGGCTCGCTCACTCACGTCACATGGTGTATTGGTACATTTTGTTAAAGCCGACAACGTGTCAGGGATATTTGGTTAGCGACAGAACTTCCTTCTCTGACAGCAGGCCATCAGTTTCCTTGTTCAAATAATAGGACTCTCTCTCGGTTTGCTTGAAGGAAAATCAAATTAATAGGAACTAATCAGAGAAAATTAGGGCTGGTTTGGTATTGCTGTGTTTTGAAAAAAAACTGCTGTGAGAATAAGCGGCTGTGAAATAAATCAGCAGAGTGTTTGGTAAAATTTTTTTATAAAAGTGCTTTTGGAAAAAAAAATCAGTTTAATAGTAGGTCTTTTCATTAAAGAAGCACTGTAGCTCTGTGTGCTTTGAAAAAAAGCCAGTTTTCCAAAGCTACAAATAGCAGCTTCAGTTTTTTCCTTTAATTTCAGCTTATTCTCACAGCAGCTTCCAAAATAAGCCATTTTTTTCAGTTTACCAAACACCTAAAATCCTCACAGCTTTTTTTCATGGGTGCTTTTTTTTTAAGCACCTCACTCCCAAACTAGGTCTTAATCTCCGAGCTAATTTACAACTACAAATTTAGGATAGTGCTATTCACGAATATTTTTATTTTCTGCGGATTCTTATTAATATTTTGTTATTAAATTTTTTTAATTCATTTGATTCGACGATTAAAATTTTTTTAAATAATATAAGTAAAAATAAGTGTATACATAACATTATTCCAAATTTATTATACGGTCGGAATAATTGCACTTTGATCGTCTAGATCAATTGCTCCATTTCATGTTAGCAAAACTTAGATTCCAGTCCACCGCAAATGTAGCAATGATTGTAAAAACAATGAACGTGAACACCATCAACTTGTAATCTCCTATATATATAGAGCAACAGATTCAATCACATCAGACCAATACCGTCGTAGATGAGACTAAACAACATAAAGTTTAATTGTTTTATGAGTTGTACGTGTTGAACGGGTGACGTGATTCATTGTTTAAGAATTTTCTCCCTACTTACAAAAATATTAAAAGAAGTTTAATCTTATATCAAACACTACTGAAAAGAAAAACATTTTAATATGGAGTGGTGTTATTTACAAACGTTTTTTTCTCTCTCATGCGAGATTTTTTAATGTATCGGGAACATAATCCAATACATAAAGTATAATAATACAATTGATTGGAAACTATAAAAAGAAAATTTCATCTAATTGTATTATGATACTTATTTAAAATATAAAAAAATGTGTGTAAATGCCACCATTTTTAATTATTAAAAGACGATAATCTATTTTGGGATGTGCTATCTACACATCCTATTTTACTTCACACATTCCCTTTGATAATTTATATCCGTTGATTTTCTTCAATTCATTCCGATCTGACGGCCAAAAGTTAAAAAAATATGTGAGAAGTAAAATAGGATTTGTGGATATCACATCCCTCTATTTTTTGTTCGGAACACAGATCGTCAACACAGTTGAGGACAAAGCTTGTACTGCATATCGTGCTCCAAAAGTCTGCCGCCAAGCATGATTCATCATGATAATCCGTGGTCCAGGAGTAACTAGCTTTAACCTGCACATTCTCTTTGAAATTTTCAACAGCTTCCTCGCTAGTCCTTCACATGCATGTGCTCAAAGTCAAAAGAACATGAAATTGAGGGTCCGTCTGAAAACGTAATTTGCTTAAAACGTAAGCGTTCTTATAAGAAGTGTTGGTTTGGAAATGTTTTTAAATGGTTGAAAAGTTTTTTTTTGTGAAAATATATTTATAAAAACACAAGTGAATTTTAAAAAAAACAATTGAAGTATTTATTAGAACAAGCATATAAATAATTCTTATTCAGGGATCACTTTGAGTGCTTTTGGAATCTAAAAACATTTTCTCTATAAACGCTTTTAGTTATTTTAAAAACACTTCCAAATGAGAATGAAGTATATCATAGTTATAATTAAAAATACAAGTGTTTCTTGAAAAAAAAAACATTTTATATATATGTGCTTTAAAAAAGAATACTTCAAGTGCGTTATTTTTCTTTTTATTGAACATTCTTCAAGTGCGATATTTTATCAAGTAGTTTGAACTTTTTCTAATAAATATTTTCAAGGTCGTCTTAGTGATTTTAAAGTGTTTTCAATTATTTTAAAATTACTTTCAAACAAATCATGACTAAATATATTGTTTGTTTTTATTTATCCTTCTTTATTTCGTCATCTCCCTCTCATACCTTTCCTTCATTCATCCATCGTCAAATTAGCTGTAAACAAATAAACATAAGGCTTCTGAAAAAATCCATAAAAAAATAGAGTAGAAATCAAAAGTGTGGGTTAATTTTGGTAAAGATGATAACACTCTGCTTTTTCACTATTATAAGAGCATTACAAACATTTTTTTTATTAATGCAGGGTCTCCACAAATAAGCACACATTTATTACCAATCATTTTCTTTGACAAAGAAGATATTCAAAATTAATTTATTTGTTTTAATTTGCTGAAAAGAAATTTTGATATAGGTTACAAATTACTGTAATTATTTTAATTCATGAAAATATCTTTAAACTTTTTAATCAAAATGATTCTTAAGATTAGCATAACTCCTCACTTTGATATTTGAGATTTGAAACCAATAGAAGTGGTCCATAAGTTTGTCCACCATCAATCATTTTGCTATTTTCGTGAAATTTCTGTTAAATAAGGATCAAAATAACAAAATGACCTCAATGGGCCAAAATGATGTAACAAAACTTGAGGATATTTTATTATTTTTTTCTTATTTAATAGGAATTTTACACCAAATGATCAAAATGATTTAAGATGGACAATATCAGATGAGAGATTTTTCAATGTGACCGGTACACGGGGTGGTACATCACGTGTCACCGTACAAATTGTGAAATATGTGTGTTAAAAATCTAATAATTTAAAAAATAAATTTCTCACCACTTATATAAAAACACGTGGTGTACCACTCGTGTTCCGGTCACAATGAAAAAGTCCTCATATCTGAAACTAATTATATTGGTGTCAAATATCAATGATCAAAGTGAGAGGTTATACCAAAGGTATACTTTTATTATGCAATAAAGATGTCACCATACTTTTGGCTAAAAAAGTCATATTTTTATTATGCAATAAAGATGTCACCATAATATTAATTCAGAATCAATAACGCCGTGTTATGTGACAAGATAAAATCCATGACAATATTCTGATTAGCTGATAATACCGTGATAATGACATTAGTTGTCTCTTTGTTTTAACATTCATCCTCCAGCAGCCTATATTAATCCTGCCTCCCCCCTGTATGTGTCTCCCATTCTGTTTCTCACAGACACAAACACACAGCCATGTACAATCTAAGAAGAACAAAAATCTTGCTCTCAACATTGTTTCTAACTTCAATCCTTTTCCTAAGCCTACTCTTTTCAAAACCACATTTCAAAAACTCAAACTCAAAAAGCCCAAAAATCCATTTCCAAAACCACATTCAAAAACAGGTTCTAGAAACAGCCCATTGGGCATGCCAAGACACACTCTACAAATCCCTCTGCCTCTCCACCCTCGCCACCTTCCCCAATCTTGCCTCCAAAACCCTCCCGCAAATCATCTCCTCCACCGTCTCCCACACCGTGTTGGAAGTCAAAGCCTCCTCCTCCAACTGCACCAGCATCAAAAAGCAGTTCAGCAAAAAGCTCAGCTCGCTTCAGCAGTGGGCTCTCGACGACTGCCTTGAGCTCCTCGACAACACAATCGACGAGCTCAAGTCAGCCATCTCCGACCTCTCCACCAACAAAACACTCAACTCCAACCGCTACTACGACTTGAAAGCCCTACTCAGTGCTGCAATGACCAACCAGGACACGTGTCTCGATGGGTTTAGTGCTAACGGCACTGCTCCTCGGAGTAGCAATATGGGAATTGTGAGGAGCGAAATTGAAGGTAGAATAAATACAATCTCACAGCACGTTAGCAATGCGCTCGTTATGCTTAAGAAGATTCCGGGAGCTCAGAAGTACGAGTACTCTGAGACGATGAAGTCCGAGATGTTCCCCGACTTCGGACCTGCCAAAAAGAAGTTCCCGACTTGGGTTTCATCGAAAGATCGAAGGTTGTTGCAGTCCTCGACGAATGAGACAAAGTACGATTTGGTGGTGGCCAAGGACGGCACTGGAAACTTCACTACCATCAGCGAGGCCGTCGATGTGGCTCCTAATTCAAGCGCAACCAGGTAATATTTTACATAATTAATTTTGGGCTATGTGCGATTAGGTTATAGAGATAACGATATTTTGTATTGATTTTTACAAACTCGCTTTATTTTCTTATCATTAATTTTCTTACCGCGTGCGATAATTATTACATTTTTTTTTATCAAATGATAGTCTTGTTTGAACTACCTTAAATTGTGACAAGAAAATTAAAACCCTAGTACATATAAGAAGTACATACGCTCTAAACAATGTAACCGCACTGCCGTACATAATCGCTATCTTTGTATGCGTAGGTTTGTGATATACATAAAGGCCGGGGCATATTTTGAGAATGTGGAGGTTGTGAAGAAGAAGACAAATCTGATGTTTTTGGGAGATGGGATTGGAAACACGATTGTCAAAGCCAGCCGGAATGTAGTGGATGGGTGGACTACTTTCCGATCAGCCACTGTCGGTGAGTATTTCTTTTTCTCTTCTTCTCAACTAGCTAGCTAGTACTTCAAATTATTAGGTTGCAAACTTTTGAAATCAATACCAAAATAGAAAAAACAAAAACAAAAAGTCAGATCTTTCAGTGTGTTCAAAACATGAGTCAGTAAACCACGTATCACTGTAAAAATGGTAAGATACTTATGTTAAAAAATTATCAACTTAAAACATAAAATTCCCCTCCACTTATATAATGACACAAAATGTACCATTTGTGTTCCGAGCACAGCAAAAAATCTCTCCTTAAGTCAATTGTATGTATGACTCGTATTATAATTGTAGGACCATATGCATCGATACATATATATTCTCAGCCACAAAAGAGCCAAAAACAAATTCCTTAAAAAACAAATTCCTTAAATTCCATATACGTACATTCTAATAAACAAGAGCATAGTACTTTCCACACCATCGAGATTTGGAGTTGTGGAGTTGGTTTCAACTTGTGCTGAGAGGTTTTGAATTTCAAATATTGCAACCTAAAGTTATGAAATTTGACAAAGTTACGCATTTTGTTAAGTTGACGGTCTGGTTAATTATTTGAAGTAATAGCGTTGGATCTACTCTTAATATGCCATCAATGTGTTCGATATATGTAGCATGCATGGTTAGTGTGGTTACTGCATTGTCACTTTAACAATTAACAGTTGGCCGTACACACTCACCTAATATAAGGCGTAAATTGGTGATATGTCAAAACATTGAGGTGTAACGTGAAAAATTGAAATAGTGTGATCAATTATATGAAATTGACTCGAAACTTTGATAACGTAAAATGTACTTGGCTCAAGAAAGAATTAGTCAAACTCTCCATGATTAAATTACTTCTTAAATATGTAACAGTAACTTGCTATAAAGGAGCTTAGTTAAGGGTGTAATCATTGAGATTAAACTTGATTAAACTTTTGAATTAAAGGGCGATGGATATCTGAGTAGGATTTTAGCCACATTTTTAAGTGTCGGTGGCTCAGGTCAGGACCCTACTTTGGTCATTATTTTGCCCGTGTTGCGTGGATCAATTTGTCGGACAAAAGATTATCATCATTTTACTCTTCTAAAATCAATGATACAAGAACTAAAGATTCAGCTGATATATATATATCTATCTTTTCATGCAAGTAGTATTACTTTAAACTATATTAACAAGAAATTGTATCTGTAACACAGTGGTTTGAAGGTAAATGACCTAACTACAGCGGTGGAGTCAAAATTTTAACTTAAAAAGAGCCCAAAAATCTCAACATGAAATGCTATTATGATCTTACAAAAATTACTATGTCGTGTGGTAAGCAACTAACCACCGTCGTTTAGGTCTAATATGGTCATCCTCATCACCCTCTTCTTGAAACCTAAACCCCAAACCTCTCTAACTTTCTTCCTCTCTCCCATTTTACCTCTCTTCTTCCACTGATCCTCGTACCAAAGTCCTCTTCAAAGCTCACAAGCAACAAATTGTCTGAACTTTATAGGAGCCACCAACCTCAAATCAAACACGATAAAAGAAATTAAAGTAAAAACGTTGGTTGGGGCCCCGAACTTACGGAAAATCTTAAATATCATAAGTATCTAAATTTTTCTACCTAACAACCAAAATAATTTATCACTTGTAGCAGTGCTAGATATATTATTATAGAATATTACGTATTAGCAATGCAGATAAACTATGGCCTAAAAACAGTTGTAACCAACCGTCGTCATTGCTTTGATTTGGTTCCCTGAGCCCTCGTGAGCTGGTCCCATCTATCCTTTATCCTTTTCGACCTCTTCATGTTTCTCGTGAGTCATATGTCATATGTGTGGACTAGACGTATTCTTAGTTTTTGGACAAGAACATTGTCCAAAACCATATGGATATGGAATCCGGATTCAGATGAAGAAATTTTCAAATTTCAAAACAATATGGATATGAAAACCGGATTAGGATCAAGTATACGTAGGTTTCACATTATACTTCATAATTTAATAACTAGAAGATAGCAGCTAAAAATATTCCAAAAAAGTTACTAGGCACTCCAAACAGATATAAAAAATAAAAAATAAAAACACTACAAATAGCAACACTTTACATGAAAACCAATTAATTAGATTAACTAGGTAATAGTCTCTAATTCGTGACTTCCCTAATTTCAAGTAAATGTACTATCACAACAAAGTTTATTCACTTGTATAACAAAAGTCGAAGTCAAAACTAAGGGAGAAAAAAAATTTAATATTCACGTATTAGTAAATAAAAGATTAAACAACAAATTAGTAAAATAATAGCGTTAGTATGTTAAATAGTTTGTTGTAAGTGGAGAGAAAATCAATAAAAATTGAATCCGCAACATAATACTTAAGCATTATTGATTTCCGTTATTGTAGTAAAGTGTTATGTGCAAGTAAACACATCATTAGTAAAATAGTGAATTGGCTTTTAATTGGGCCATGGACCGTGTATGATTTTCTCTAACCCTACTAATATGGGCAATGAATAAGCATGTCCTCAGGAGCCATAATACTTTCTTCTTTTCTTTTCTTTTTTTCCAATTTAATTCAACTATCCGTTTTCTGATCCGTTTCTGAAATGGGCTTTTTTTTTCAGCTGTGGTAGGAGACGGATTCATCGCCAAAGGAATCACATTCGAAAACGGAGCCGGCCCAAGTAAACACCAAGCAGTCGCCTTAAGAAGCGGCGCCGACTTTTCCGCATTCTACAAGTGCAGCTTCGTCGGCTACCAAGACACCCTCTACGTCCACTCCCTCCGCCAGTTCTACCGCGAATGCGACGTCTACGGCACCGTCGACTTTATCTTCGGCAACGCCGCCGTCGTCCTCCAGAACTGCAACCTCTACGCCCGCAAGCCGAACGAGAACCAGAAAAACATCTTCACCGCCCAGGGAAGAGAGGACCCGAACCAGAACACCGGGATTTCGATCCTGAATTGCAAAGTCACGGCCGGGTCGGATTTGATTCCGGTGAAATCGAATTTTACAACGTATCTGGGCCGTCCGTGGAAGGAGTATTCGAGGACCGTTTATCTGAAATCGTATATTGATGATTTGGTGGACCCCGCTGGATGGTTGGAGTGGAACGGGTCGTTTGCGTTGAGTACGTTGTATTATGGGGAGTATTTGAACCGTGGACCCGGTTCGAATACGAGCGCGAGGGTGACGTGGCCAGGTTATCGGGTCATTAATAGTTCGGTTGAGGCAAGTCAGTTCACTGTAGGAGAATTTATACAGGGAAGTGACTGGCTCAATTCTACCAATATTCCTTATTTTCTTGGTTTGACTAGTTGAGACATTGAGAAAACATACTAGCGTACACTTTTTTAGAATGTCACGGCATCATCTCGGGCTAATAGTGTGATCTACAATGTAGCCATGCGTGTTCTGCTTTCATATATCAATGTTGTTGAGTAGGCGCTCAAATTCATAATTATTAGCATTTTTATGAGTTAATTCTAAAACCCGAATGCATATAAGATTGGCATCATCTTTGACGTAAGTACATCGACTTCGAATTTGTAGAGTCTTCAAAGATTGCGTACCAAATCGAAATCGACTTCAAAGTTTCAAAGGTTTTACGTAACTCCAAATTAAAATGTGCATTCAATATTCAAAGTCAGCAGATCGGTTTTATTGAAAGGGTTTTAGTTTGAGGTTGAAGCGATGCTACTATCGAGGAAAATATCATTACTGCAGAGCTGGATGATTAGCTCCAAGACATTTATTAAGGATTAGAAACTTATTGAAGAGGGCACGTTGAAATCGACTGGAGGATTAGAAACTTGTTGAAGAGGGCATGTTGAAATCGACTGGAGAGCCCTACACATCCGATTTCGTTTTTATGAAACGTCATTAACCCTAATCTACAAGGACGGAGTTAGTGTAGGCCTAGGGGGTGGATGCCCCCACTCATCTAAAAAAAAAGTATGGTTGCGTTCCAATCCTCAATAACTAGCCTTAATCAAACTACAATTAAAAAAATTGGTAGGCAACTAAACTAGTCTACCGTTTTTGGATCCCAATCCTACTTGATGACAATTTAATTAACAATTAATTTAATTGTGCCTCCCCGATTTTCTAACCCTAGGTTGTTAATCCACACAAAACTTATCTCACCACGTATGGCAAAGCAATTCCAGTCCTTAACTTCTCCATATTTTTCCTCCTCTTTCATTCAACCAAAACTCAGTTGAATTTGGAGTGTTATAGACAGTTGGAGTTCAAGTAATCAATTATCAAAATTCAACACAAGAATTTTACTCCACAAGGTATTTTATACGGCTTTACTTTATTAATTTGTTTTTGGCATTTCAATTTAAAATTTAGCTTTCTAATTTAGAGATCAATGGATGAATGATAACATGATTACTTTTATATAAAGAGATATGATATTGGTAATGATATTGTTATGCAATACTTTCAAAACATGAAAACGATTCGAGGAATATTGTAATATGTTGTATAAAAACCTTTATGGATTAATATATTAGTGTTTTGGTCAATAAATTCTTGAGATTTTTAATTTTGATTTTGTTGTTTGAGGATGCAGCCGCTCATATAAATCTCTGGCTTCGTTCCTGCTAATCTAACTGATTAAATAATTTGAATTCTAAAAGACAAAGGATAAATATGTATATGAAGGGTTTGATTGCATATGCATGCATCATGCAAGATGATCAAGCAAATGTGTATGTTGAATAAAGTAAAAAGTCCTATATTGGGCGATGCATGAGTGATGCGGAAGGTGATGAAGATGAACATGCATGAATGCATGCTTGAGTTTATCATGTGGGGAGGGGCACCACCACGTGATGATACAAATAAGCCCATTGCCAGAAACATGCTCTCTCGCACTCACCCGTCAAATCTGGGCCATCGGTTTCTGACCTAGAAGAAAAACTGAACAAACTCCATTATTGGATAGATAGATAGATCAACATCTATTCTTTTCCCGTGATTGTTAATTCCCTTTCATCCAACCTCTTTACTCTTACACTTTATGTTCGACCACATAAAACTTGTAACTTAATAAAGATTCATTTAATTTAGATTTTTGTGCATGTCACGCCATGTTTTTAACTTAAAGAAAGATATGGTGTGCTGAGAAAATTCTAATTATACTTAACTTTCTTCACTTGATCTTGTTGGAAAATATTAGTATTTAAGTTTACTTTAATATTTGTTTTCTGCATTTAGTCCATTAGCATTAGAGTTTCAGTTTCTTACCTTTTAGAGTTATGGTTAGTTTATTATAAATATCATGTTTGTTATTCATTTAAGAATAAGTTAGTTACGATGTAGTTTCTTGGGATTTTGTAGCCGTTTCGGTTTTCTTATTTGTTTAATAATATTCTTATTATTTTGTAGTATTGGTTATCGCGCACTCTAATATTCAACTTTGATCTTATTTATTAATATGATTGATTATTTAACATATTTAACGTATAAAAAAGTCATTTAGGTTTTGGATAATTTAATACTTAAAATCCAAATTATCGAAGTGATTAATCAATACTCGACTATACTCCTAAATTTTCTAAGGTCTCTTTGTGTTGAAATATCTCACTACGGCAAGATGAAGGAGAAAAGAAGAGTTAAAATATTCTAAACTCTACTCTAATTATTACTAAAGTCTTTTGTGATAAAACCTCACATTTGTCGGACTGTGCAAGTGGTAATTAACAAATTATGAATAATATCGTTATTGTTGAAAGTGAGCATTTACCTCTCTCTCTAATAATTCGACACATTGTACATCCTAAAAATAACTAATCTTTTCATAAACGAGATCAAAGTTGAAGAAAGAACATCAGACCTCATGTTTTTCTTTAATAAAAAAAAAGGAAAACTAATAAAAAGGGCTTGAAAACTTTGAGTTTTAACGATAAAGACAAAATAAAGGGTAAAGTGAATAGTACCATGATTGATTTTTTAGTGTAAAAATATGGTTTTTCGTTAAAATGAACAGTAGTAAGAGCTTTTCGTTAAAGCTCTCTAAAACAAACCATATTCCTTTATGACTACACATATGCTCTAGAATATGTAGGCTTCATATTATCTTTTGTTTTAGTTTGATTCTTGACAAGAGTTGGATTCTGTTTATATAGCTTCTAAAGTTGCTTCTGAACTTTTGGCATTGAGTTTTCAGTGGCACACTCTAAAGAGATATACACCACATGAGTTCTCTATCGTAAAAAGCAACACTCTTCTAGACTCTTTGCATTACTCCAAATTTCTCCAACTATATATTTCAGCTCCAACAATATCAATGACATTGCAGTAAGCCGGCTTTGAACTAGGGTTTAGATACAATACAAACATTTGAAAATACTATTGTAATGACATTATATTTACATTGACACATACACAAAATGATGAGTCATTTGTAAATATTATCTAGTACGTGATTGTATCCTAAAAAATCTATGAAACTAAGCAAAATCCGTCGGTGCATGTCAGTAGTAGTAGTACTAGATAGAATTGATACTGTTCCTTCTATATGTGAACTCGATTTGGATTGATGGGCTGATATTGGTATTATGTGAATTAGGGATCAGAATTTAGAACAAGAAGTTATCATATTTCTCGATAAAAGTGTGTTCCATCCCAAAAACTAGAACTAGTACATATATTTATGCTTGGGACGGATGGGGCTTTGTTGACCGTTGTGCGACTGAATCGCAGAACTCAAAGAAGTTCACGTTTTAAGTCACAACTTTTCTCCGACTGCATATTTCATTTAAATATCCAATTCGAAGAACCCATCTTTTATATGTTCATCACCTTTTCTGAATCTCTGTAAATTTAGATTCTAACAGTAAGGGAAACTGGAGCATAGTTCAATCGTAACTTGTATGGTTCTTGTATGGTAACCATAGGAATTGAAACAGTGTTCAATATCACTTTATCATATAATAATACTTCACTCATTCCTTATTTCACCGTACAATAAGGATAATTCATACTATTCGTTCTCATTATCATCGTTTAAAGATATTTCCTTTAATATATTTTCTCGATTTGAATACCGTTTTGTCATCTATATTATTCGAAGAAATTGACAATTCATCATGAAATTGCTACCTGTTATCATAAACGTAAATTTGTTTGACACATATAGGTGACAAAACAGACTCAAAATCGAACTGATCATTCTAGCAATAATTTTCAGGTAATAATAACGGGAATGACGATTATGATTATCCTTATAATCTAGTGAAATGATGTTAGTGTCCTCCTCTCCGGAAATGAAAAGTATTGTCCTTTATTATTTTTTGGAACAAAAAGCAGTTATCATCAAGTACTCTCTTAATTAATTAAGTATATATAAATATATTCAAGTTAACTAGAGTAATGTACTCACCATATGTACTCTGATCCGAAACTCACTATTTATAAATTAGATTAGGTTAGAATAAGATTCTTATGATCAATATCTCCAAGGTAGTAAATTTGCTTCTTAAACTAGCTGCATAGCTACCTTGGTGTAGCTTCAATGATATTTGTCTGTTTGGATGGAGATCCATTTCGGATCTCTGTGTTCAGAGCTCGCAAACCGAGAGACTTAGATCACTCAATTTTTATCTTATGGTTATGGCCCCCATTAGTTCACCACATTGGCTTACTTCACAAAAATCCAAGAACTTGAATTACCTAAATCTCTCTCTCTTGAACAGTCCGGGTCTCTCTATTCAAGGCCTCTAAACACAAAGGTCTAGAGTTGAACTCAATCCAATGTGTTTTAGCTTTGATAACAACATGGTCATAAATTCCAAGTAGTTCCCCACTGCAAAAGAATTGCTTAAGCAAAAAGAGAAAATATTTTGCACACTACTTTATAAGGTACTCTTGATGTGAGAAAATCAAAGTAGGAGTCTTTTAGTTTCCAAAGCTCAAAAGATTTGAGAGCATTTCTGGTACGTTTTGCATCTGATGCCTATTGCAAACAATGGTTGATAGGCTTTGAAATTAAGGTTAAAGGAAAGGTACTTGTCATAAGTTCAAAAACCAAACCGACTCACTGAACTTGTACTGTAATTTCTTGATAAGTAAGTAAACACCCAAAAAGAGGTTATTTCAGCATCACTGCAAATATAGCGGAAATCCAGAAGTAAAAAAAAAAGAGATAAACTTACATATATTCAAATTTTGTTGTGTTAGATATCTCAAAGACTCAAATGATTATGCAACGATGTGCATTTTAAATATATTGGTTTATGTCATTGAGATCTTATTTCAAACCAATATTGCAATGTTGTGGAGGAAAGTCAAAATGCATGTCATTGCATTATTTTTTTGAGATACACACAGTGGTGTACCTGGTGTAGATAAGTCGTTATTCATTTGACCGATCTCGTTCATAAATATAGAGGGAAACTACAGAAGAGTAGAGAAAAACTTATGTGGATGACAGTATCTCAAGTCAATTATATTGTGTCAAACATTTTAACTTTTTTAACATGATAATGTATTATTAGTTTGAATACAGCTACAATGACATTTCGTTGTAAAGGGAAAGGGCATGCACATTGCAGTGATTGCACGATGAACCATTACAAAGGCAAAAGTGCCTTACAAGAGAATCCAATTTTAATTAACACAAAGCAAAAGCCGTTATTGGAGGATGTGGAGAGTTAACTAAGATTAAGACCTAGCATGGTTAAACAGAGGAGGCCAGAAGCTTGCAGCCTTTGCAGTTTATAAATACAGAGGGAGGAGAGAAGGAAGAGCTGTCTGCTTCTTCTCGCTGCGGCTTTGCAGGTTAGCCGTTGGCTTGTTAGTTGGCCTGCATTGTTCTTTCTTCTACTTTTACTCCCCAAAAATGGCTTTTTCTCCCACACTTGGACTCCTCCTCCTCTCCTGTTCCACCACTCTCCTCCTCCTCTGCAATGCCAACCCCATTCCCGGCTACCACCGCAACCCAATCTACCGCCACCATCGCTCCGCCAGCCACAACTACAGAGATGCCCTCACCAAGTCCATCCTCTTCTTCGAAGGCCAGAGGTCCGGAAAGCTCCCTCCTAACCAGAGGGTTTCTTGGAGGAGAGACTCTGGCCTCTCCGACGGCGCCGCCGCACACGTATGCTAAAACCCACATTTTCTTTCCATTTTCCCGGCCTTTTCTCTTCTTGGTTTCGATCTGTACCTCAAAATATGAAGTGGGCTTTTACCATTTTACTGATTTCTGTGTGATTTTTTGAAATGCAGGTGGATTTGGTTGGAGGATACTACGATGCAGGGGACAATGTGAAGTTTGGGTTTCCCATGGCTTTCACCACCACCATGCTTTCATGGAGTGTGATCGAGTTCGGCGGGTTGATGAAGGGAGAGCTTCAGAATGCTAGGCAGGCTATCCGGTGGGCCACCGACTACCTCCTCAAAGCTACCGCGCACCCAGGCACCATCTATGTTCAGGTATTTTATTCCCCCACCCAAGCCATTGTTTCACATTTCTCTGGTTTTTCCCCCATTTTTTCTCAGAAATTACTAATTTCCTGAGGCGTTTTGTGGTAATTTTTGCAGGTTGGTGATGCGACCAAGGACCATGCTTGTTGGGAGAGACCAGAAGACATGGACACCCCAAGAACTGTGTTGAAGATTGACCAAAACACCCCTGGTTCTGAAGTTGCAGCTGAAACTGCTGCTGCTCTCGCTTCTGCCTCATTGGTCTTCAGAAGATGTGACCCATCTTACTCCAAGCTTCTGCTCAGGAGGGCCATGAGCGTGAGTTCAAAAAACCCAACTTTAAACTCCAACCAAAGAAAACAAAAAACCAAAAAACTGAGATCATGTTTCGCTTCTGGCTCTAGGTGTTTGCGTTTGCCGATAGGCACAGAGGCCTTTACAGCATCGGATTGAAGAAGTTTGTGTGCCCCTACTACTGTGATTACTCTGGCTATCAGGATGAGCTTTTGTGGGGTGCTGCTTGGCTGCACAAGGCCACCAAAAATCCCATGTATCTCAGCTACATTCAGCTTAACGGTCAGATCCTCGGCGCGGCGGAGTTCGATAACACGTTCGGATGGGATAACAAGCACGTCGGAGCACGAATCCTTCTTTCCAAGGTCCCATTTTTCTCAAAAATTTGTTTTCGATATCAAATTTTTCGTATTAGAAAAAATACTCCGACTACTATAACATGGGGTTTTGCTTTCACAGGCATTCCTCGTTCAAAAGGTGAGGTCACTCCATGAGTACAAAGGGCATGCAGATAGTTTCATCTGTTCAATCATTCCCGGAGCCTCTTACTCGGCCCAATACACTCCAGGTACTTTCTCTCTCTCTCTCTCTCTCTCTCTCTCTCTCTCTCTCTCTCTCTCTCTCTCTCTCTCTCTCTAAAAATCAATGGCAGAGTGGTCCTGTTTAAAACGGCTAATTTTGGTGTTTTTGGATGCAGGTGGTCTTCTGTTCAAGATGAATGACAGCAACATGCAGTATGTGACATCCACCTCGTTTCTGATCTTGAGCTACGCCAAGTATTTAACCCATTCCCGCCAGGTGGTTAACTGCGGCGGCACCGTCATCACCCCAATGTGGCTCCGAGCAATTGCCAAGAGACAGGTATGTCGCGATCGAGTTCGGATTGAACAATGTTACTCGTGTTTTTAATCGTGTCGTGTCGTGTAGTGTCGCGTATTATCACTCGTAAATATCATGTTACAGACATTAATTTCTCTTGTTATACAAATTAATGTGAAAGTTAGAACATTGGTCCTAAATTTTGGTCTGATGGGAGCTTTGATTGTAGTGAGGAGTGGTCCCGAACTTGTTACAGTGTGAAACAATGACTAATTTGAAAAATTGGAGTTTTAACGAAAAGCTCGCGATATTGTTTATTTTAACGAAAAATCACATTTTTATATTAAAAAGTCAAACATGGTACTATTTATTTTACCATTTATTTTGTCCTGTTAAAACTCAAAGTTTTCAAATCATTTTTTTTCCTTTGAAAAATTCCGTTACAACTTCGGTTTGTTCAAATTGTGACGGGTTCAAAGAATACTTACGAATTTTCAATTTAAAAATTAAAGCTCGTTCAAAGACTAATATTCTAATTTTCTTTAAATTAATCAACTAGAGAATGATACTTACGCGGAGTTTAAAGTTTAACTTTCAAGCAAGTATATTTGTCTTAATTAATCTCTTTTTAATCATGTTTATGTTAATGATTTTTATCAGGTGGATTATTTGCTAGGAGACAACCCAATGAAGATGTCCTACATGGTGGGGTACGGCCCACGGTACCCACAGAGGATCCACCACAGGGGCTCATCCCTGCCGTCCGTCGCCGCACACCCGGCCAAGATCCAATGCTCGTCCGGATTCAGCGTGATGAGCTCCCAATCCCCTAACCCCAACATCCTGGTGGGGGCAGTGATCGGTGGGCCCGACCAGAACGACAAGTTCCCAGATCAACGGTCAGATTACGAGCAGTCGGAGCCAGCCACTTACATTAACGCACCCCTCGTAGGAACACTGACTTATCTTGCCCACTCATTTGGCCAGCTCTAAAGCTGAAAGCTGTTTCTGAGATTCTCCTCCAAGTTGTTAGGTGTTCAAGTTCTTAATTTAAACTAATTAATATTAAGCACTGCTTTGTAGTAGTAATTGGATGGAAAGTGCACGCGGTGATAGGGTCGAGAGGCAAATAGCCCCAAACTACGTGAGATTTTTTAATGTGATCGTCACACGAGATGGTACACCACACGTCTCCATATATATTATAAGTTATGTGTGTTAAAATGTTAATAAGTTAAAAATTAAAATTTTTCACCACTTGCATAAAAACACGTGATGTATCATCCATATTTTCATCACAACTAAAAATTTTTCCCAAACTACGAAGCACAAATGGTCAAGGTCTAGCTGGTTCATATGTTAGGATTCATAATAATATTATTGATGTTGTAATTTCGTGACAGAAACGGAGTTTATATGTGAAAGTTTTATGGGCTCTAAGATTGACCATTGGGGTTACTTTTTGTCTCTTAATACTATTCTAATTGGGTAGCTTTGTTTGAGTGATTTGTCCTCTAGTAAACAACTAGCAATTACTTAGCATGACTTGGAATGAAACTTATTATGGGTTAACCCGTTAACGAGTGAGGTCGCTATTGGTCATCTTTTAAGAATTCGATAAGATTTTGTTTACTAGATCTATACATTTGACATGAATTTTTTTTTTTTTTTTGCATGACCGTTAACCCAACATGATATGACATGACTTGTCAACCAATCTGGTCGTCATTGGGTTACCTAATACAAACCCGTTAAGATAATGAGTTTGACATAACACAACTCGTTAAGAGAATAAATATAATACAAAACAACACGAAAGCGACAAACATAACCCATTTACCAAGCGCTACTTAGAGATATGATAAAAAACTCTTGCTTTACTGATGTGGTCGGACATTGAAGTTTTTTTTCTTGGGAACTTTAACGAAAAGCTCCCGGTACTGTTCACTTTAACGAAAAACTACATTTTTACACTAAAAAGTCAATCCTAGTACTATTCACTTTACCCCTTTATTTTGTCCTTATTATTAAAACTCAAAGTTTTCAAGCCTTTTTCATTAGTTTTCCTTTTTTTCTTTGATTCAAATTAACCGAAGTTGAATATGGATTCATAACTACCAATACTATTATTATAGTCTAGTGTCATTCCCGTTATTAAGTAAGAGATGTTTAGTCGTGTCATTTTATTAAAAATACATATAGGTAAATAGGTCCATCAAATGGTTTTTTTTTTTTTTTTTTTTTATAAATATAGTTGGATGGGATGTTGTCCCCAAGGAGCTAAATAAAAGTAAGAATCCAAAGACAAACATTTGGAGTTAGATAATTACAAATTATTTATCAACGATTGTCCCAAAAACAATGGTCCCAAATTATTTTTCTCATGATAGCAATGCTGGAGTGGAACAGACTTTATGGTCAAATTTATTAAAAAATAAAAAAATAAAAAATAAAAAAACCCGACAATAAGGCTTGTTTGGATTCAAAGCACATGACTTAACAATTATACCTTATAGTTTAATAAGAAAAAACACAATCAAGAACAATGAGAATGGGTGGCAGTGGATAATGTAATGCCCAACTGATAAGTGATTAAATATTTTACCGTGGATAACTACTTTAGTGGTAAACGAGTAAATATTTGACCATTAAAATAAAAACTTTTTAGTCAACATGATATTTGAGATTGACCATTAAATATTTGAGACAAAAACATCCTGAATTTAACATAAATTTTTCATGAAAAAGACAAAAACGACTGACAATAGCCAAATTCAGAATTCATTTTTATCGATATTTAATATTAGCAACGAAAGTAAAAAGTTATGCATATCCAATGACTATTCTACCTTTTGACAAAAAAAAAAATGACTATTCTACCTAATTTAACATTTAAAAAAAAATGAATGGGGAAAAAGAAAAACACGGAAGGAAGATCAAGAAACAAGATTGTTTGGTCAAAAAAGCTGTTTGCATAAGCATGTAGCTTGTCAGATATGGTCAGATGTCAGAAATGCGTGTAAAGCACCAGAAAGTAGAAAAAAATTTAGTTGTGACGAGAACATAAACAGTACACCACTTGTTTTAATAAGAATAGTGGGAAATTTTATTTTTAAAGTTATTTTCTTTTTAACACACATATCCCACTATTTATTTAGTAATACGTGATGTACCATCTTGTGTACTGATCACACTGAAAAATCTCTCTAGAAAGTGGTCATTCTGAATCCTAACAGAGAGTATACGAGATGTCACATGCTCTGCTATGCTGAGCTTCTGCGGCTAGGGTCCAGGTCCATAAGGACTTTCTATCGCGACGTTTTGAGTCAGTAATATAATATTTTTCGTAAATTTCTATTCACAGTCATTATTGGTTTGAAATGTTAAGAAGGCGGTGTATTTATTTTAGGTAAGTTGTTAATTTGTTGTTGTTAAGGTGAGGATACCAGTTAGCAAGTTAGTTGAAACTCAAAAGGAAATCCCAAGGAACCAAATAAAATTCCCAAATGAGGCATCGGATTGGGTCAGTTGAACCGCATGAAGAGAGGACCGAAAAGACCCAGAAGCATTTCAGCCTTCTCGTAAACACCATCGTAAGATAGGGTATTGAATCAATTAAATGGTGTAGTAAACCTTGAAATGCTATTACACAGCTCAATCAATCATATCAGCCCAACGATAGGTATTTATAGAGAATTTGTGCTAGATATGCGTTTGTTATGTGGCCGAAAAACTGAATGTATGCATTCTTCATCTGACGATTGGAAAATGATGAAAAATAAGAAAAACTAATGAAAATGACAAATGATGAAAAATAAGAAAAACTAATGAAAATGACTTAAAATTTTAAGTTTTAACAATAAGGATAAAATAAAAAGTAAAGTGAATAGTACGAGAATTGATTTTTTAGTGTTAAAATGTGATTTTTTGTTGAAATGAACAATACGGAAAGTTTTTCGTTAAAGTTTCTGAAAACTAACCGAGTGTTTTCATCATGTTTACCAAATTCATGTACAGGATGACAATGTCTTACACATTATATAAAACAGTTCATAACAATACAATTGTTGAAACAGCCTCTTTGCAAAGCAAGTATAAGGCTACATACGATAAACATTCCCCCGACCCTCGGAAAGCAAGGAGCCTTGTTTGCTTGGGGGTCGCCCTTAGTCCATTAAAATACAAGAGCAAGAGCTTTATTACATTCATACATACACAACCGTAACATTTATTTCATCCGTACAACCATATTTACCTTGCGAGTCGCCGTGTTGCGGGCTCAAGGCCTCGGCAGCTCAGCAGTTGAAGCCTAATGTGCATCGTCGATGGCTTCAGGAACAGATTTTGCCTGAAACAATGCAAGCATAGAGAGGTTTATGAAGGGAATTTATCAGCATCTCAGGCAAAGTGTGGCATTAACTCTATCAAGATCGTCGACGATTGTGGTTTAAAAGGCAAGAATCGGATAGAAAGCTAATAATTACTCACCAAATCACGGAACTTCAGAATGTAGAACATCTCCAGATAACGTCGGGTCTCGCGCCTTTCAAGCTTCGACACATACTTCCAGAAACCATAAACGCCCGCCAATGTCATTAGCCTTTCAGAATAGATCTTCCATGTGTACCTGCAATGTTACAAAAACCCGACCGATTTCAATAACGCAGAAGCTAATACGAAGTATTAATTACACTAGTGTAAAAAGATACTAACTTTTCATAAATTCTTTGGAGGCCTGCATCTGAGATTGTATTCCAATAGCTAGGATCCTCCTTGCAACGTTGAAAGAAATCGGCCATAAGTGCAGCAGCCTTCTCAGGGTGATAAGGATCGATATGAAATCCTGATACACCGTGCTCAATAATCTCCGCAGGGCCACCATGGACAGTGGCGAATGTTGGAAGGCCGCAAGTCATAGCCTCCACAACTGTGAGTCCAAAAGCTTCATAAAATGCAGGCTGCAATTACAAAACTAAACAAAGTAAATTAAAGTAACCTGGGAGTTCTCTTTGAAACAAAATGCAGAGACCCCTACGTACCTGAGCAAAAGCACCTCTTGTATCTGCTATGTAACGATAAAGCTCACCGTTGCTCACTCGATTAGTTTGAGATGAAATCCATCGAAATTGACCATCTAATTTGTACTCAGTCATAAGATTATGCATCTTCTCAATCTCTGCAATTTCTTCTCTATCTTGTGATTTCTTTGCGTCAATGTAACCAGCAACTATGACGAGGTTTGCCAGATCCCTCAGTTTGGAACATTTAGCATAGCACTCAACCAACCCAGTCATATTTTTCACCTGGTCGAGCCTTGCCATTGAGAATATTATGGGCTTTGATCGATCGCTTAGGGTGCCACTGAGCCAATAAAGAAGAATCTCACTGTCAAGTGACTGCCACAAAATAATTGCATTGTCATATTTGGTTATACTATGAAGGAACTTACATATGAACATCATTCTGGTCAGGATTATATAGCAACTCTTCTAGGGAACCATGGAGGCTGGTAAGTCTCTTTTGCTTTTCAGAGTAAGGGAAATAAATGGCCATATCTGCTCCGGGAGACACGATATTGAACTTTGGATCAAAGACATTAATTCCATGAACCACTCGGTACTGCCCAGGAAGAGTGTAAGAGCTGTGGCTCTCATACTGACCAACCGTATCCTTCCTGAAAAAACGGAGACAAAAAGTTAAGCAACCAAGGAAACTAACATCGGTAGACAAAGAACAACGTAACGATATATATTGGGACAAGAAGTTTCAACACTCCAATTGTCAAAAACAAAAGCATCATTGACACTTAAGTAATGATGTAATAAGCTTATTTGTATTCCAAATAAACTAAACACAAATGAGCTGATAATCACTGTACTAAAGAAAAAGTAGAGCATCAATGTACAGGGAGACTTACGTTCCTGCAATCTCTTGGTATGTGCTGGTGATTATGAAATCTGCATTATTCATGGCAATAAGATCAGCCGTGAACTGAGTTGAGAAATGGTATTTCTCCTCAAATTTCTTCCAATATATATCTGAATCCGGATATTTTGTTTTCTCCAATGCGTGCGCAATAGTACACTGCACAGATTAAAACATCAGATAACATTCTCATTAGATAATATGATGAACTTTACAGCTGCAAACATGTCGAACCTGTGTAACTCCCATTTTATAAGCCAACAAAGATGCGACAAGATTCCCGTCACTGTAATTCCCAATAATAAAATCTGGATATCCCTGTAACTCAGCAATAATTTCACCAGCAGCATCCTGATCACGTGAAAAACAATGACTATATCAGATGGCAAAGTCTGAAAAGGCATGTAAGGATTAGTTAATCAGAAGAGAACATATTTCTACAGTATTCTGAATATGCAATTAAAGAGGTCGCACTTGGTGCGATGGCAAGTGCCTTCGCCCATGAGCGGTAGGTCTCGAGTTCGAGACTTGGGAGCAGCCTCTCCATAAATGGGTGTAAGGCTAGTCGACATTCACCTCTCCCAGACCCTGTGTAAAGCGGGAGCCTTGTGCACTGGGTACGACCTTTTTATTCTGAATATGCAATTAGTGAACGAAGTCATGTGCTACTTTCAAAGCAAAGGAAGTCACTTGTGGTAATGGCAGCAGTGACATCAAATGGGTTAGCAAGCTACGATAGGAATGCACGTGGACAGGAAAAAAAAAAAAAAAAACATCCACTTAAGATGGTGAAAGCACATAAAGCACAAGTTGGAGATTTAGTAGTTGTGGATAATTAGAGCTTACATGTTATAAAAAATTTACCTCAGCAAAGGTCTCCAAATAAGGCCATACGTCAAACCTTGAGATCCACTTACGAAGAATCCCTTTTTCTGATCTAAAAGGAACTCTTAAAATATGGGTGTGCTCGGTTCCAGATATTCTTTCCAGCCTCTGATTGCATGTAGTTCCTTTCGCCTCAGGTATTAGCCTGGTCACCTTGAACCACCAAAATAATGCATGAACTTTACCAGCCAAAAAGCTACCTTAAGGATTCCTACAATAAGGATAAAGACACTTACAATAAGGATTCTTGGAGTGAAATCTAATCCTTGAAGGCGAATTCTTTCGAGCATTTCTTTTTCAAGGGCGCGCACTTGGTCCAGTATATAGACAATCTGCATAAGTTATGCAAACTTTTTGTTATGTTGCATTTACGGCTAACCATCTAAAACCTCATAATAGAAGATTACAATGCCTCCAGAGTATAGGTAAAAGAGGTAATGAAACAAGACAAGGATAAACGATGAGTACTGTGAAGCCTGCAAGTCATTTAAAAAGAAAAAAAAATCGACAAGGAATACCTGGCCACCAGTGTCGGGTAAGCCTAAAACATTTGCTTGTCCAAAGTATCCATGTGGAGACAAAATGACAACATTAAACATCATCGGGATTCTCCCAAGGAATGTCTCCAATATAGAAGGATCAGGAGCCTGAAGGATATCTAAGAGAAGATGCATCATCTCCAATACGTGTACTGCAGTATCACCCCAACCTCGCTCAAAACCCATTCCTTGAAATCTATACAAAGGGTCGCAGGAAAGAAAAACGGCATAACATATCAGGAATTACAACTTCAGTTATTGATTCCATAAGGGAGTTGCAGTCACAAGAACGGTATAGAAATTGTCTAGGCTTACAAATATTCAAACTCAGAATAGGGTGTCTCAGGTTGAAGCTTGGAAAGATGATCCTCAGCCTTAGCTAAGCTGACTGAAGCTTGGATACGCTCTGTATCCGATCATTCAACATCAATGGCTACAAAAGTAACCAAAATATAATTAATTTAAATATTTCAAGAAATCCTCATAAGAAAACATCAATTACTTTAAATACTATCTATTTGTGCCACTTAGTACTATAGTCTAGTGGTATTCCTCTTCACTTGTAAGTGAAAGTCAATTCTCGCCAAAGGCGAATTTGAACCACATTATTGTTAGCCCGTTGTGAGGCTAAGGCCACCCCCAAATAATATCGTTTGTTAAAAAAAAAAAAAAAAAACTATATATTTTTAAGCAGTATATATTCCATGCTTTTTATTTCTAGGGAAATATATAAATCCTTTATTAGGATGAAATAAAAAGGCTAACTCAGACCATATATCAAAAAGGTCAAACCAAACAAACTGAATAAAAATAAACTGACGTTGAATTGCAAATCGGGTCACAACAAAACATAGATAAACCCTCTTTTAGGAAAGCTTTGCTCAGCAAACTTACATGCCCTTTATATTTGTGTGCTTTAAGGAAATCAAGTAATGGCTCCAACGATTCTTTGTTACGGAACATAATTGAAGAAAGGTGGCGGTTGAGAAATTGAACACCATTTCCAATGGATGAAGATCGGGTGGGACGAGGAAAAGCAGCATTAAATGGCTCAAAGTCGAGCTCAAGTGCATATTTGTCACTAGACCTGATACAAGTAGACAAAGAATCCATGTTAACTATAAAGCTCAAAAGTTTATAAAAGTCCACATAAACGTTAATTGTCAAAATAACAAGAAAATTATTCACAGAAAGCAGTTTACTTACTCCCCATCTACAAGTTCTTCTTTAAAGCGAAGATATTCAGAAACGGTCAATTCCTCCACACTGAGCTCATATACATTAACACGAACGTAATCCCAGACACCAGGTCTTGGACGAACTGCTAAAGCCACATATGGAGGCAGAATAATGGCTTCCTGCGATCAAAATGCACAACTATTATCCGTGGAAAGCTAGTTTTACAATGCAAAAATCAAACCTGATTTCAAAGGCGTAGAACAAAAAGCTTCTGAAACCATTTTCATTCAATTCTCAATAATCCATTCTTTTTCTTTCTAAATTAAGCAAAAATAGCGAAAGTTGGAAACTTGACAAAATGCGTCTGCTTCTCCAATGCAATGTGACACTTTTTCTTTATTTATGTGAAAGTTCCCTCCTTTTCTGTTTAGGTTTCCACATACATTCAACAATTTTACTGGAAGAACTAATTGAATTTCCGGAACTTCAATTCGCAAAAATTCATCTCAAAATTATGTTCTTCCTATGTTCAATTACAAATTGAATTTCCGGAACTTCAATTCGCGAAAATCATCTACATTTATGTTCTTCCTATGTTCAATTACAGAAATATCACACGGAAATGATTCAAACAAACAAACACAGCACGTATCATCTAGTAAATACAGTGCAAAAATAGAATAATGAGCAAAATAATTGGAAATTATATCAGCTTTCAGTGAGAAAACAAAATCAGTTAGAAAATGTCTCTGGAAAAAATGGAAAATTGTACAGACCTGTGCAGATTTGAGAACTTCGCTGAAAGGTCCGGTTTTGAGCTGCCGTTTGGCTTCATCGTCGCCGATGACAATGTCGAGCTGATCGATCAGGTCGTGCGGCTGCAGTATTCTTTTCCCCTGATCCAGGTACCTTCAACCAAACCAAAGCTCAGCAAAATCTAACACCACGGTGAAATTTCAACATTTTCTCGGGAAACAAACAGAGCTCAAGAAAAATTAGTTCGAAGCTGCGAGGAAAACCTGGAGAGGAGGGCAACGAGTTCGTTGCGGTGGTCGGAGAGAGTGTCCTCGACGCGCTCCCTGAGGCTTAAGGCGCGAGTGAACTTAGGGCGATTCGCCATGATTCAATTATCTTTCTTCGTCGTCGTCGTCTTCTTCTTCTTCTTTGTCTGTGTTCTGCAAGTGTTGGATGAGAAGCGATTGGAGAGAGCGGCAAGTGTGAGACGTAGTAACAGCAGATAAGCCGGTATTTATATCGTAGTGGAGGGAGGTGGGGCCCGAAGAGGCGGTATGTTGGGGGTGGTGCAGAGATTTTTCAATCCGAATACATTATATATCATACAAATAATAAGATGTGCGTATTAAAATATTAATAACTTAAAAAAAAATATATATATATAAAAACACATGATTTACTAGCCGTGTGCCAGATCACAATGAAAAATTTCTTGCGGTGGCGGCTGGGTATAAAATACCGTGTACCGTGACGGTTTGGGTGGCAAGCAGAGAGGGATGGGGAGGGAGACGTGTGTCATCTGCCTTTACTCTTGAGACGCAGGCAAAAGCCAAAACTGTCATTTTCCTTATGCATAACTCAAAAACACGTGTTTGTTTGTGTTCCGAACACGGAATCGGATTCCTTTCTGAGCAAAGAATCAGGATTATTGAAATTTGATTCAACGGTTGTAATTATTATAAATTTTTTAAGAATATTCTGTTTGTAGCCGTTGGATCAAATTTTAACGATCTTGATCATTTGCTTAAGAGGCTCAGTCTCCTAATCTCATGAGGGGATCCGGTTCCTTCGAATCACGTAGCCATATGTCATATGTTTTTACATAAATAGAGGAAAGTTTTTTTTCTTTTCAAGTGTATGTTTACTTTTATAATGACAAATGACGTATCACCTCATATTTCGAACATATTGAAAAATCTCTCTCGATACTGTCTGGGCTTTAGTTTAGGAAAACAATTTCACACCCTTTTAGCCTCTTATACGCTTATGTTTAATCTTGACCGTTGAGTCTATTTGACTTATCCAATCTGATGGTTATAACAAAAAGAAATGTGTGAGAAGTTAAAGTTCGAGAATCGCTACTTATATGAAAACGACATGTCATTCTTATAGCGTTTTCGATCGAATAATAAAATATAATAGACATTGTATAATTGGATGGAGATGTTATGATGATGGTTTGCATATTTAATGCAAATCTTTATTCTAAATGAGATTTCTCAACATGACCATATCAGTTCTAACGGTTACAATAACAGTAAATTCATTTTATATAGGGAACTTTAACAAAAAGTTTTCGATACTGTTCACTTTAACGAAAAACTACATTTTTATTCTAAAAAATTAATCATGGTCCTATTCACTTTACCATTTATTTTGTCCTTATCGTTAAAACTCAAAGTTTTCAAACCCTTTTCATTAGTTTTTATTTTTATTATTTAAGCCTGATCTAGAAATAATTATTTTACGCAGGAATCCGATTAGGTTAAATTTTTGTCTTGATATAAACTTTTAATCGTCAAACTCCACTTCATTTGATTTCCTTTGTATTAGGCTAGTGATGTATGACCAACGTTAGGGCAGTAAGTGACCAACTTAAATTTGTCTTGTGTTTTTGTTTTCTTTTTAAATTACAATAAATAAATATTTCAAGCAAATTTAACTAATAAAAAAATAATAAATACATGCATGTCTCATTAAAATTTAATACACTGATGTATAAAAATGCGTTCACAACGATATGAATGTGTATGAGAAAATACATGCACGTCAAGTCATGCGACTTAAGTATTCCTTCCCTTGATCTAACATACCTTCAACCAAAACTAAAACAGAACCATAAAACTCGTAAAAAATCCAACGACGATGGTCAAGGGTTTAATCACTTCAATACACTAACTTGTAAGAACGCCTCCACAACGATATGCAAGTTCACATGAAAATACATGCCTGTTAGGCCGTGCGACCGCCGTATTCCTTTCCCCTGATCTACGTACCTCCAACCAAAACTAAAACAAAACCATAAAACTCATAAAAAATTCAACAACAATAGTCAAGCGTTCAATTATTTCAATAAACTGACTTACAAGAACGTGTTCACAACGATATGATATTCACTTGAATCATTTGAAATCTCAATTGAGTACACTCACGTTAGTTGTTTTGATCAAAGCACGTTGTTATTTATATTCCAAGATGATCTCTATGTGCTATGATATACTTAAAGAGTTAATTTCACTGACAAAAACAATGTTAATCCATCTATGGATAAGATCAAGACTATGTTTATTTTATACCTTTTTTTTATTGCAACTTTTGCTAGTTGGAACGCCCGTCGACACTTTACGGGACCACAGTTCCTGCCATAGTCTATAAACCATCAAAGCCCGACTGGTTTCTGGTTTTACCCAATCAGCTTTTTAGTTTTTTTAAAATTTGTTATAATCAATTTTTAATTGTGACAGAAATATGAGTGATACATCACATGTTTTTATGTAAGTAGTGGAAAATTATATTTTTTAAATTATTAATATTTTAACACATATATCCCACTATTTATATAATGACACGTAATGTATCATCTCGTGTGACGATCACATTAAAAAATCTCTCATAATCGATGAAACCAACTTTTAAAAGATGCTGTCTTGGGCTTATTGTCAAATATTCCCCAACTGTTTCACACAAGAAAGAATAAACATTTTAGACCAAAGAAATCGAAAAACATTTCAATGCGTAGCGCACAAGAAAGAATATCTCAACTCTTCAAGATGCTATCTTGGGTATATTAAGTACCATAATAAAAACGGTTGAAATTTTTTTTTTCTTTCAATTATTCAACCATTTATATTATAACATTTATTGTACTCAACCATGTGATGCGAGCTATTCACCAAGAAATGAAGGGTGGCACCAAGAGAGACGCGAGTGAGGTCGTAATGCGGGGGGTTGGCTCTAGGTGAAATTGCGTGCGTGTGAGTTGTAGGGATGACATGGTCCGGCAGGTGAGAAATGAACCCGAGTTGAATCACGATTTACATTTGCTTACACTAATTTGGGGATGAAATTTTTTATCTCGACGTAACGTGGTGCGAGTTATTTGGCAAAGCCATGGTGGTTGGAACCAAGAGAGAGGTAAGTGAAATCGTAGTGCAGGGGGATGATTTTGGGTGAAATTATTTGTTTGTAAGTCATATGAATGAGATGATTTAGAACGCGAGACTTCAAAGTTGCTCCAATTAGAGCCTATTTAAAAGTTTTTTTTTAATTGTTAAAAACATTTACGGCAACAAAAGAAAAAACTTCCATAAAAATATTTTAATTTTTTATAAAATTTTCAACCTTTTTTTTTAATAAAAACACTTATATGAACAAAATTATATAGAAAAAATATTTTCAAACGGGATTTACTTTGTGGACTTTACTTGGCCCAAGTTGTGAGTCTTTGTGATTTTTGTCAAAACCAATTCATAAGATTCATCCCAAAGCCTCAATGCCGAGCTCTAAATCACGAATCATTTGGGCCTACTTTGGCCCAAGTTTGTAAAAATAAGAAATGCTTTGATTTGTGGGTCCCGCATTCTAATGGTCTGCAAGCCGAGTAATAGTACATTTACCACATTTTTCACATCACATTTGTATCACATCTTTAATGAACGTAAAGCTTATCAGCACATGATACAAATGTAGTATAAAAAAAAATGATAAGAGTAACATTTTTCCTGTAAACCGGAAAGTGTAGGATTTTCTTTTGAATAAGTGGTAGGGGATCACAAAACAACCAAATAGGTTAATTACCAAAGAAAAAACAACCAAATAGGTCTTCGTTTACTATTTTTTACATGACTAAACATAGATTTAGCGTCGAAATTAAACAATAAAATCGCGTTTTGTTTAAGATTGTTTTGCGGTTGGAGCTTCTAAAAATAGATGGGAGATTGATATATAGAGGCCCGCATTGTCCATTCTTGTAATAAAGCAAAAAAAAAAAAGTTTTTTTTTTTAAAAGTTAAAAAAAATTAAATCTGTACGTAGAAAGATGTCTATGGGATTGAGGTTGCCAAATATGCGGGGCATTGCAAGGAGAGCATCAGCCAAGGCTGTGTTTCTTCTCGGCTTCGCTTTGCTTTCTTGCGTGGCCCAATCTACATCCCGTGGACATCTTTATAGGGCTGGTGCCCGCAGGAGCGTTCTCGACGCCACCAATAGGAAAGTGTTTGATGTCACGGCCTTCGGTGCTAAGACCGAAGACCAGATGAAAGGAGGAGGTAACAAGGCTAATGTTGTTGGCAAGTTGAGTGTACAGGAACTGCCCGGTGGAGGTATACCAGGCCTCCCCGGTGGTTCTGCGGAGGAGAGTTTTGCTGATGAGAAGATTGATGAATCTGGACCGGATGAAACCGGAGCGGGTGAAAGCCCTGAAGAGGAAAATGGATCGGTGAGATTCTAGAAATCGATAACACGATTTCAATTCAATGCTATATCTCGTTATTCTGTAATTTGAATTCACGGATTTGATAACACAATATTACGTTGTATGTAGGCATTCATCCGGACGTGGGTAGCCGCATGCAGAGGAAACTACAGTGGTCCAACTAAGGTTGTGATCCCCAAAGGAACATTCTTGATAGGACCTGTGGTGTTCCAAGGGCCATGCAACAGCTCAACTGAGCCCATCGTCGTTGAAGTTCAAGGATATGTCAAAGCCAGCACTGATCTCAGTCAATACTCCTCTCCCGAGTGGTTTACATTTGAGTTGGTTGACGGCTTGATCATCACCGGTGACGGAACTTTTGACGGGCAAGGCCAGAACGTATGGAAAACCAGAGATAACAAGGAATCCAGCAGCGCTTCTAATGCCCCATCGGTGAGCTATCTAGCGTAACATCTCCGATTATGTTCTCCAATTTCGAGTTATATTTTAAGTGATGACGGTGACCATTTCTTTGATTCAATTGTTGCATGCATGCAGTCACTTAAATTCAACAAAGTAAACAACACCCTGATCGAAGGGATCACATCCTTAAACAGCAAATTCTTCCACACACACATGTTCGGCTGCAAAAATGTGACAATGAGCAATGTCCACCTCATTGCTCCTGGAGATAGCCCTAACACAGATGGCCTGCATATCAGCACTTCGAGCCAGATCAAAGTGCTTAACAGCGTTATGGCAACTGGCGATGACTGCGTTTCCATCGGCCAAGGCTCTCATGATATCACCGTTAAGAACGTCACCTGTGGTCCAGGACATGGCATCAGCATCGGGAGCCTCGGAAAGTACGCGGACGAACTGAGCGTCAGTCAGATTTACGTGAGCAACTGCACATTCAGAAACACCACCAACGGTGCCAGAATCAAGACTTGGGCTGGCGAAAGTGCAGGAGAAGCGACCGGAATCATCTACGAAGACATTATCATGGACCAAGTTCAAAACCCTATTATCATTGATCAGAACTATGGTGCCAAGAAGAAGGTAAAGAAAAACATCTTTGGAAATAAAAAGATGGTAGTGTCAGGAAATAAAAAGAGGGTAAGGGCAGGATTAGGAAAGAAGGTAGGAGCAGGATTAAAAAAGAAGGTAGGAGCAGGAAAAAAGAAGGTACGCATGCATGCACACGTATTATATTAAACTAATGCTAATTAATTTCATTAAAAGGATCAAATTAATTCACTTTTAAACTTGTTTAATTTATTTAGGCACTGCAAGGTGGGAAGAAAAAGAGCGTACGTATTCATGTTCATGCGCAGCTCATGCATAATTATTGCACCAACTTTAAGTTAATTAATCGTAATTTATTGTATGTAATTTATTGTTTTGGTACTGCATGCATGCAGGAAGCAGCTGGACCACCTTCTGGACCAGCATCAAAGTGGAAGATCAGTGACGTTCACTTCAGAAACATTAGGGGCACCTCAGCCAGAAACGTTGCCGTTTCGTTAGCTTGCAGCTCTGCAAAACCATGCGAGGGCGTTGAGTTGACCGATATTAACTTTTCCTACCAGGGCACCAGTACGAAAAGCACGGCGCTTACATCTGAGTGTTTCAACGCCAAGATTACATCAAAGGGCGTACAGAACCCACCACTCTGCCGTTAAATTAGTTATCGATATATAAACTCGATCATCTCTGTGTACAACATATCAATACTCAATATTAAGTAAATATGTTAACTAACCGATCGATGCTTCTTCTTCTTTCTCTGTCCACTGTGATTTCTCTCGACCTATGTATATATGCACGTACTATATATATTCATGTTATATAGTAAACTTTATGCAGTAACAATATGGATCTGATCACTTATATATAATATCCCATATCTAATAATAGTAGCGGAGCCAATGCAGTGGCATTGACATCCAATGGCGGATCCAAGAAAAATCATTTTGGGGGGTGGGGGGGGGTCAGTAGAATATCGTGCGCAGCATCCAAATTTTTTTGGACGAAATAACATACAAATTGGCATGTCATCAAGCCTCGATAAGCCTAAGGTCATATACCAAGTCATTTGCATGCTTGTTGATAGATGCCAACAACTTCTGAGCGATCATGTCGACTGATGTTGATAGTTTTGGAGCAAGCATGTCAACATATGCTAACATATGTTGAGTAAGTCTACCGTCATATGCCTATAGCACATACTAAGGCATAGCTAGCAACTACCCAATCAGTGTCCACATAGGCAATTCGTCGAGCAATTGTTGGAGGGTCAGCTTTCAAAGGCATCTCAGATTTTCGTATGGCAACATCTAGCTCTTCCATGAAAGATTTCTGAGCTTGTAAGGGTCAGCTGACCCACCTTGCCCCAAGGTGGATCTATTGGGTTTTTTCCAACCCATGATAAGTTGTCCTAAATCTATTGGGAATTAATAGTCTTAGAGGATTAAATTGTTTTCCCAATTGGAGTTGTTTTCCCAATTGGAGTTAGTTTCTCAATTGGAGTAGGTTTCATAACTAGTTTCCAATTAGGATTGATAATCCTTATTGAAGAAGACCTTTATTATGTCTATAGGAAGGGGCAAAGTGTGTGCGAGAGAAAAGAAAAGAGATATTGTATATTTCTTGTTCTTGTTCTTTTAGGTTTTTCGTCAAGTCCTAGTTCTAGAGATTTGGCAAGATTATTGGTTGTACTCATTATTGATATAGTGAAAGATTGTTGTTGTTGTCCCGTGGACGTAGGCACATATTGCTGAACCATGTAAATTTTTGGTATTATTTATCTTGGTTATTTGTTTTTCAATTTCCGGAGTTTGTTCATGTTTTTCCCATTCTTAACCGCGATATTCTCAACAAGTGGTATTAGAGCCAGGTTTGGCTGATATCCGTTTAGAATGGAGGGTGCAATTATGATGAAACTCACTCGCTCCAACTGGGTTACGTGGAAATCAAGAATGGAGGACATGCTTTATTGTAAAGATCTCCATGAGCCAATAAAGGTATTAATAGCAAGCCAAAAAATATGTCTGATGCCAATCGGACCAAGATGAATCGTAAAACTATTGTTACGATTAGACAATGGGTGGATGAGAGCATCTATCACCATGTGTCTAAAGAAACTGATGTGCAAGCTCTTTGGAAGAAGTTAGAATCCCTCTTTGAGAAGAAGACTGTTGCCAAGAAAGCATTCCTTATCAAAGAGCTTGTCGAAGTTAGTGTAACCGAGCACTTGAACAAGTTTCAGAATGTGATCAATTAGGTAACCACTATGGGTTTGAATATTGAAGAAGAGCTGCTAGCACTTTTATTGCTAGGATCCTTGCCAGATAGTTGGGAAACCTTCGTCGTAACTGTAAGCAATTCGGCTTCTAATGGCGTACTGTCTATGGATGTTGTTAAGGATAACATGTTTAATAAAGAAACAAGGAGAAAAGCTTCAGGTGCAGGTGCTAGACAACTCTTTGTCACAGAGAAAACAGATAAAAATTATGGTGAGATGAGATTCAATGGCGACTGCCACTATTGTGGGAAAAATGGTCACATGAAGAAGCATTGTCGTAAATGGAAAAGGGAACAAAAGGATGGGAACAATACTGCAGATGTTGTGACTTACGATGAAGAGTTTCTTTAATGCAGATGATTGATTATTTTTTGGCAAAGAAGTCTATAATTGCCTTTGCCAATGACGATGGTAGTTCTAATCAAGGGGAGCCTGGTCAAGAGAAGTCTAATCAAGAGGGTCTTGGTTAATGAGTAGTTCGATTAGGGGGAGCTTGGTTATGGGTAATTCGATCAGGAGGAGTCTGGTCATGAAAAGTTCGATCAATGGGAGTTTGGTCAAGAGAAGCAATCCTATTTTGGTATACCTTCCTCATGGTCTGGAGGGGGAGATTGTTGGGTTTTTTTTCAGCCCATGATAAGTTGTTCTAAGTCTATTGGGAATTAATAGTCCTAGAGGATTAAATTGTTTTCCCAATTGGAGTTGTTTTCCCAATTGGAGTTGTTTACCCAATTGGAGTTATTTTCTCAATTGGAGTAGGTTTTATAACTAGTTTTCAATTAGAATTAATAATCCTTATTGAAGAAGACCTTTATTATATCTATAAGAAGGGGCAAAGTGTGTGTGAGAGAAAACAAAAGAGAGTGTGTATTTCTTGTTCTTGTTCTTTCAGGTTTTTCGTCAAGTCCTAGTTCTAGAGATTTGGCAAGATTATTTGTTGTACTCATTATTGATATAGTGAAAGATTGTTGTTGCTGTCCCGTGAACGTAGGCACATATTGCCGAACCACGTAAACTCTTGGTGTTATTTATCTTAGTTATTTGTTTTTCGATTTCCGGATTTTGTTCTTATTTTTTCCATTCTTAAACGCGATATTCTCAACAGGATCTGCCCTTATTGGCATCCCTTGACCCTATTAAATTTGTAATAGATTTATCCTTTGAACTTTTTTTGACCCCTATAGCAGCAGCATATGAAATATTGGGCATTCGAATATTATTTATCAGCAACAAATGAAATATTATTAGAAAAAATTTCATCAGTTAATTCTATAATCCATAATTTTCTATTAGTTAATTACAAATTTCATTCGGCATTGGACATAATTTTCCGTTAGTTAATTAACTTAAATCCATTAACCAAGCCTTAAACACTGAAGACTAAAAGTGTCGAATTAGGTTTTTTTTTTTTTTTTTTTTACTGCTTGTAGTTTTGGTTGAGTCAGTGGTTGTTAATGTGATCAAACTTATATTATATGGTTGAGTTAGTTCATCTTGCTCAATTTTATCTAAAAAGTTTCATATATATAGACCTTACATTTCTTGAAGATTAACTAAAGAATTATATTTCTGACATGCGTTTGCATAATGAAATTTTCATGTTGAAAGGAATAAGTAGTCTTGCACAAAAGTTGGTGGAGACAAAGAGGGATAAACATTATCCCTTGGTGTAATTGCTAGTGAATAAAACATTGATTTAACCAGTTGTAACTGCTTCCGTTGGAAAAGCTTTTCGGTGATGAATGTTGTGAAGAATCTACATCGTAATAGGATGTGTGATGAATGGTTGAATGATAGTTTGGTTGTATATGTACACTGAAAAATATGTATTTGATTCTATTGATAAGGATGTTGTGATACGACGTTTCCAAAATATGAGAACACCTCGTTGACAATTATAAATGGAAGTATGCTCGATTTTCTAAAGCAATTTTTTGACCCTACTGTTATAAATTCCTGACTCCGCTACTGTCTGGTAATGCCAATTTTGCTCAAAAAATAAGATCCTAATATTGCCGGTTAAGTATTGTCTGTAAATTATTTATGGTCTAGTGTATTTGTGTTGGGTCTCAGTGTTAATCAAAAGAAGAAAAAAGGAAGTCCCTAACAACACCACTTTCTTAACCTAGTCAAATTTTGTTCATATAAACGTTTAACACTTTAAAAATGTCATTACGCATTTCAAATATATAATCACAAAGTAAATTTCGTATAAAGAGAAAGATAAATGCATGATGAAATTTTATGCGTGCCCAGACAATTTTTTTTTCATAAATACAATGTTCTTCTGCTATAATCAAAACAATGTTGTTGCACTATGCTATATAGTTAATATGTAATGCTAGAGAGACCATCTATTTAAATTATATTTTGTAGATCACAAAATGTGTCAGTTGATGTTTGGATTCTTTGTTTAAATTATTAAAGAATGTATCTAATCATCAACTGTCACATTATGTGGTCTAATAACATGGCCTCTCTAGCATTTTTCACAGTTAATTAGCACAAAAACTAGAGTGGGTAATATTAGGGAGACCATATTTTGTAAACAAAACCTAAACTATCTCTCTAATAGAGGTAGAGACCACAACACAAGTAGGTTCCATAGTTCAAATGTGGTTTACAAAATGTGATCTCCCAAGCATTTGCAAAAAGTGGAGATAATGTGTGAAAGAAAAAAAGTTAGATAACATATTTTAGCTCGTTGGACCATACCATGTCCATATTTAGTATGTTAATATGTTAATGAAGTGTGATGACATTAGAGTGAATGTATGGGCAATATTTGACATTAGTACCAAGTGGAATATCTTGCAAATAAAAGTTAAATTTTGCACAGTATACTAGTCAGGGGAGCTAGTCAACTAGATACAAGTTTGCTAGCTATGAAAACACAATTCCGAAAAATAAACTTAATTAATTAGAATGTCCAACTAACAACTTTTACCCAGATATATCTCACAACATGAATTCACAAACTTGAACACATTCACATTCATATAAGTTCATTATGCTAATTAATAACTAGATATGCAAGCAAGTTTGGGGGAAGTGTATACAATAGGTTTTGACCGGAAAAATCCCTAACTAATTTAAAAGAAACTGGGTACTCCAGGGAGTCCAGTGCACTAGTGTAAAATAAGGTTCATACAAAGTTAACCACAATAAGCTAAATTCCTAGACCTATTCTAAAGAGTAACTTGTACCTTTGTGCAACCTTATATTACACTAGCTGGAGTACTCTTCAGACTTCAGGAAAGCAACTTCATCCATTGAGCTCATCACCTTATGGCATTGAGACGAAGCATGAACCATGCAAATAATATGAAGATATGAAAGAACATGCAACTATGAATAAATGTTGACCAGTTGGTTTCTTCAATCAAACAGTTGAAAAGAAGAAATTAACTGAGAATCCAAAACTAAGGTCTATATGAAGATTTGAAAATAAGTTTAACCATGAAGAATGCAAACATTTTCAGAAATAATGTAGAAGAGTTCGCACAAGATTTAACGCATGAAAAAGGTGGTTGGAGCTAGGGTTTGTGAAGAACACAAAGAGGAGGCTTGGGGAACTTAAAACACTATTGAAAATATAATTTTTCTAACCAAGGAGGAAATGAGATCCTCCAACCCTATTAAAATTAACCAAGATATTTTTGTTTGTAGCAACCAAATACACCACAGGATATTTTTGTTTGTAGCAACCAAATACACCACAAGACATGTGTCAAATGCAAAAACAATATGAAAAGATCAATGGTAAAAGACTAATTCTCGGGCAAAAGTTGTTTAGGTCATCCCATGAGGGTTTTCTAAAAATGTGTGCCAAAAATCATATGCAAAATACAAGTAGAACTTGACTAGACAATTTCACTAATCAGAATGCATAAGAAGAATGAGGATTCTGAGGATCTTCCAATCACATCCTTTTATTATACATCGTGTGGTCATAAATCATTGTAAATTTTTTTATTTAAAATTGAATATAAATAGTACCTGAAGAAAACTGACCGCACGATATACAATAAACGACGTGAATGGAGGATCCCCAGGATCCTCACAAAGAAGATCCTCATTCGCATAAGAAATTTAAACGTGAAATGCATATGCATATACAAATCTCACTTGAGTTGAGGCAACACCATTTACACTTTGATTGTTTCATAACTCAGACTTCAATACCAAGTATCCTAAATTCTAATCTAATGAAAATTGATCTAAAGAGCATATGTGATAAATAATTACAAGTTTTGACAAGGATAACCAAATACTACTAAGTCGACTTCACAATATTGGTGATCAAATTTAAAACTTAAAAGCAAACGGCCGGAACATTTAGTAATAAAAAAAGCTATAAGACAATATTCCTGCAGCCGTCCGTCCGACCAAGGAATAGTTAATCACGTCTTTCTTGGTTTTAGGTGGTAATAACTAAAAATCTAGCTATGATTTAATTTCTGATTACTAAACAGTACCCCAATGATCATTTCCAACTCATAGAAACTGGTCCACTGCAACGCAATGCGTCTCTTGTACCGAGTGTTGATCAGGGATCCATTTTTGTATTTACCTTCTTACATGAACCGACGATAAGCTCGGGAAGGGATCGTGAGCAACATTGCAGGAGGGGTAAGAGAAGAAAATTAAATAGATCAATAGGGAACATGACGCTGGAGGCACATAAAGAAAGTGATCAAAAGGTTCTAGATGAGGCTTCTCTGCATAACTACAATAATTCTTCAAGAAGATTCAGTGATCAGCCTGATTTTGTGCTAGGGCAACCCCTAAAGGTGAGCTGGGAAACAGTTGAAGAGATGACATTTGGGTTTAGGACAAGGATTCTTGCTGATGAGAAGAGTGACTATTCGGTGTATGAGGGATTCTGGGAGCCTGTTTATGGGTCACAAGTAATGGTGATGAGATACAACACGACTGCTTGTACTAGTACTTCTCCTGGTAATAGTAGGGGCGTTCTTGAAGCTGAAAAGAAAGCGGCCTTGTCTATGCATCACAAGAATATATTGAGCCTCGCTGGTTACTGCAATTGTGACAATACTATGATTCTCATATTTCCCTCTGCGAAAAGAGGCTCGTTGGAAACAAACCTCTATGGTAAATTAGTAATTAAGTTTCATCATAATCATGTCAACGGTTAGTTTTTTTTAACAGTTCAAAAGCGTGATTGACTATTTTAGAGTGTCAATAAAATACCACCCTAATTATATTCGTAATTCGTTATGTTTGTTTACTTAATCAATATATGTTGTATTACTGTTACTGTAGGCACATGTTCTGTAGCAAAACACTTGATATTGACATTTCAAGATAGACTGAAGATAGCAATAGAAATTGCCCGAGGGGTTCGATATATGCATGAAGAATGTCCTCAGGGCCCTATTGTTCACGGCGAATTACTCATCAGCAATATTTTTCTGCAACGTGATTTACGTCCGCTGGTGAATTTTCGAAATTAATTAGCCCAAATTTTCATTTGATTTATTTTCACATTATATAGTAAGGATGCTTTGTCTAATTTTAATCAACTGTGTGCTTGTAATAGATCTCTGGCTTCGGGAAAGCTACATGGCTTCATCTTAAGCAATTATCAAAGCCAATCCCCAACCAAAAGTATGCATAAATCTATATTTAATAGCTTAATAGTTTCCTCATGTACATTGACTCGTTATATATTTTGGTGTTTATAAGGTTTTCCCTCCGCGATTATATAGACCTGGAATCATGTGTTCGATTAAAATCCGACATCTTCTCCTATGGAATCTTGCTTTTGAGGCTGTTTTGCAAAACATCTGTGCCACGGGACGACAAAACTTTAATTGAATGGGTTAGTAAATTAAGCTATTTCCCTTATAGGCTGCATACTTTGCATCAATATCTCAAGTCAATTGTTCATATATTGTTACGAGCTTTAACTTCGCATATAAAATTGTGACTGACTTAAAATATCATCATAGTAACATCTCATTGCATGAAAGTTCTTCTCCATTCGGAGATGACTTTGTTTTTACATGTCAGTACTTAATATTGATCTTTGGCTTATATATATAGGCCCGTCCATTGTTGATGAAAGGAGCATTCCACGAGTTATTAGATGAAAAGTGGGACGCAGACATACATGAAATGTTTAGAGTTATGTATACTGCATCTCAGTGCATAGAGACGAGTCCAGATTCGCGACCATGCATGAGCGAGGTATTTCATTAAATATCTACATATTATATATCTCTAGGGACAGATACGTAACAGCATTTTTTAACACAATTTTTTACACATATTTATGTGGGATCCACTTTGTAATATATTTCAACAAGCCGAATCGTCTATCTTTTAAAACATCATTCATAAATCATCCTTAAAAAAATTAGACATATCCAAAAATATTAAGACATTCATTTGTAGTTTAGGAAAATCACTAACACGATTCTATAAAGAAATCCCCCTTAATCCAATGGTCATATGGTTTCGATTTGGGTGATTTTTGGTAGACCTAGAAGATGTGAGAATGTGAAAGTAAAAAGAGTCCCACATTGGTGAAAGGATAAACCTTGCAAGGGCTTATAACATGTTGAGCTACTTCCCATATTGCCAATTGGTTTTATGGTGAAATCCTAACTTTCTTCATGGTATAAGAGCAAGTTATCCTATGTGTGAAGCTCAATGCTACACGTGCTCCATGTCATCCCGTTTGTGTTATCCGTGTGTTAGGTTTGAAAATTCGTCCCGTTTGTGTTATTCATGTGTTAGGCTTGAAAATTCGCCACACGTTTGAAAGCGTGTTTGAGAATGAATCCCACATTGATGGGAGGAGGGACCTTGCATGGCTTATGAGTAAGTTGATCTATTTCCCATATTGTCAATTAGTTTTATAGTGGAACCTCAACTTTTTTTTATGTTATCGTTGAAATACATTACAAAGTGAGCCCTACAAAGATGTGTAAAAAAATATGTAAAAGAAGAGGTGCCACGAATCCAACCATTCTCTATAACGTGTTTAATTGCTGATAATTGGTGTGTTTTTCCCTTCTCTATATTTCAGATTCTAGCTTATCTTAAAGGGGAAAAAAAATTTAATGTGATGCAATCATCGTCTTCATCGGTATATAACCTTCCATAAAAGATGGAGGAATAAGAGTTTTGTTGCAGTGGATACTCAATCAAGTTCAATTGGTATTGGCATATTATATATATTCATGCAATACCCCGAGGATGGATGCTATCAAAACAAGAATTATTAATGTCATTTGCACCTTATTCATCGACCATATTTTCAATAAAAATTAATAATTTGTATGTGAGATTGTCTTGTATTAAAAGAGTGGTCAGCAATAAACAGATCAAAAAATGGTGGAACAAATGAAAGTTAGCGAGCTATAATATATCTTGTAATGTTTTATGGATATAATTGAAGCAATGTACCTGAATTTTGCCCAATTGGAGCTTTGGTTTTGAACAAAAATTTTATGGGTATTGGTCGTTGAATTTGTTATCATTTGGAACAATCATCTTTCTGACTAACTCCGTTATAAATCTCATCCAAAGTGAAGGGTTTAAGGAGGCGAAAAATGGATGGAAACAAAGTTACCCAAAATAACTATTACTCCACATTATTACAAGTTCAAGATCAATGATTCGATACTCACGAAATAAAAATTCAGGAACCAAAGATTCAATTGAGCTAAAATTAATGACAATTGCTACTATTATCTCTATATTTATATATATTTTCTGGTCTTTTTCGAATTTATGTTTGGACTGGCTTCAACACATGTATACAAATTCACGAGGCAACTTGAAAAGCCAGCAATATTTGGTCTATTCATTGTGGCAATTAGTCGAAGTTTCAACCACACAAAGATGATAAACTAATTTCCAAGTTATTTATAAAAACATATCGATTAGACATATTTCATATTAATTTGTGCTTTCAAGGTGAATTATTATGGCCCGTTGGGGTGGAAATTGCCCTATTACCTTGAATACTTAGAACATGGTTAATTTTGACCTAAATAAAAAGTGACGATGAATCTATTATTTATTTTTTATACAACCAACCACTTTAATGTCTTAGTTTAAATCCCATTAACATAAGACAACAGATGCTTAATCTGGACGAAGGTATATTCTGACTCCAAAGCAGCCAAACTAAAGCTGAAAAGAAAAGGCCTGAGAGTCAGAGACCTTTTTCCGTCTTCTTAATTGTAAGATGGAATCATGGAATCTTCTTATTTTATCCTTGAAGACTTGCACTATTCAAATGGATGGTTTTTTCTTCCATTTTCTTATTTTAATTAATCTGCTAATAGTTTTTTTTTTAAGGGAACAATAGGATTTTGTCAATGAAAGAGAAAATGTTACAAGAGATTAGATTCCTCCACCAAACACTTTACAATTGGAGTGGGAGGATTCACATACCATTAATAAGGATTTTCAATATACAAACTATAGTCAGCTAGGCGGTGTGCCTTACCGTTAGCATGTCCGTGAATGTGGATAAGAGTAACTTCAATGATTGTAGGGACGTAGGCCTTGGTGTCCTCAACAAGTTGGCCAAATTCTAGACCAATTTGGTGACGGGTCCCTAGTTACCGAAATTTGAAGTGAGTCGCATTCAATATCAAGTCGTTGAAAACCCCTTATTGCCGCCATTGCCACACTTTGTCGAAGAGCTAGGGCCTCTGCCTACAAAGGTGAGAGGACATCTTGAAAGCTCTTACATGCAGCTTCCACAAAAATCTAGAGGAAACGCAAATCCCTACCAACATTTCACTCAAAGTTCCATGCACTTTAGGCAGCCAGAGGGCACCGCTGTCCATTTCTGGGTGAAGGTGTTGCCAAACAAATCATCATAAAACCATCAAACTGGGTTGGGGCATGCTCTGAAATCTCCTTTACCCAATCTCTCATTGACAATAATGTTGCAAAGCTTGGGTGGACACCAAAAGGAGAGGATAACCAAGCACATTTAGCATAGTGCCATTCTTTCAAGAGATGAGCAGTGGTCTCCTCATTTGAGACGAAGGATCAACCTCAATACGACGTTTTCGGAAATTGGATCTTGTGGGGATAATTGATGAAATTGAGGTTCTACCATAAAACCAATTGACAATATGGGGAGTAGTCCAAGACCATATAAGCACATAGCAAACCTTGTCCCTCACCAATGTGGGACAACTCTCAACACGCCCCCTCACGTGTAGCGGATTTTCAAGCCTACACGTGGACAACAACCGGGTGACTTGGAGCGCATGTGGCCGTTTGGCTTCACACGAGGACAACCCGCTCTGATACCATGATGAAATTGAGGTTCCACCATAAAATCAATTGGCAATATGAGGAGTAGCTCAAGACCATATAAGCACATAGCAAACCTTGTCCATCACCAATGTGGGACAACTCTCAACAATAATGTTGTGACATAGCATCTACCTTCCTACTTTTACTTTCAAAGGGATCTATGCTTTCCAAATCTTAAACCAAATACAATTAAAAGAGTTGGCAGAGGAAGAAGCTCCACCGTTGGTTTGTTGGATCCACTCCCTAGTTATGTAGGAACGTAAAGAAATTGCAAAGTTTATCGCCTTACGAAGAAGTTTAAAGTACAAGCAACGATGTTGAAAGAAATCAAATAATAGCATAATTCTCCAGAATAAAGTACAAAAATAACAAGCCATACATATGTGACAATATTAGTATACTCTATATGATAAATTCTCGATGAAAACACAATACAATGGCTTATAACTCAAACTGTTAAATGTAAATGATTCAGTTAAGGAAACAAACAAACGAAAAAAAGAAAGTAAAACACGATAACATAAAACATGATAAAAGAGAGGTAAAGAAACAAAATGGGAATCCAGCTCATAGTAAAATTCAAACTAGGCCATCAACACAATGTTTCCATTCTCATTGTATGGGCGGTGCTCTTAAGTAACTTTCAGTGTGATCAATGATTTTTACAATATCTTAAAATCCTCATTGTATCCGTCGTGTTTCAAAGCATTATATTTAGAGTGTGAAATCATAAAAAAACATAAAAAAATTGAAACATAAATACTAACTAATTAATAGATTATATGATACTATTATTTAACTTGCTTTATTTTCAACGAGGAAGATAAGAACAACAAATAAACTCGTGAACAACCTAACTGTAGCTGTCAAAACAGAAAATCAAGTGGATAACTATAGAGATAAGATACAATATCACAACGAAATTCACAACGAAATTCGCTTCACGGAAATAAGTCAATGACACAATATCTTGAGAGAAAAAAAAAATTGGTGAGAAGGGAAGTTTCTCATTACTTGGGGAAGATTGGCAAATCTACAAAAGTCAAAGGGCACATATTAATATATAAAAACGCGGAATGACCTTTGATACAAAAATGGACTTTTTCTCCGACGTGTCAATCGTGTGCGGCAATATTAGTATACTATATATGATTAAAAGACAAGCAACGACGTTAAAAGAAATTAGACAATAGCATAATTCTCCATAATAAACTACAAAAACGACAAGCCATACATATGCAACAATATTAGTAGGAGATGGATTGTTTGCCCTCCCCATCTCATGCCCTTCCCATCACCTCTTATTTATGTGATCATGTTTAAGCCATGTCAACATTTTATATTCTCATTGTTTTTTGTTTTATTATTTCTATAAACAAAATCAATATAAAATGTTAACGTGGCTTAACCATAACCACAGAAAATAGAAGGGGATGAGAAGGACATGAGATTGGGAGGGCAGACAATCCATCTCCATATTAGTATACTATATATGATTAATTCTTGACGAAAACACAATACAAT